TATGATTGTTGGGTTTTTCTCTGTATCTATGAAGCGCCTTGAGGCGACTTATGTTGTGATTTGGCGCTATATAAATAAAATTGAATTGAATTGCTGCATTTTAATAGTCCAGCCTGGGCTTCCCTCCCCCAGCTGACTGGACCGTTCCCGTAACCCTCTTACGACTCTGAATGCTCTCAGCGTTTAATAACATCATAGCTAATACTAAGTCATGATGTAGTGAGGGGTCAGCATCACCTTAGACCGTTGAGCTGTCACACAGGCGTCTTTACAGTTCAGTCACGTGTAACAACAGCTGTGTTATCACAGCAACCCAAACAGCAGCAGCACAAAGTCAATGGAAACTGGAAGCAGCCTGGTTCTTGTGTAACGCCTTTAACAGCCTGCCTCAATCAGCCATTCACGCTTTCAGTTGAACAACCAGGGCAAAGCTGCCAGTCTGTATCTGCGATCACATTATTGAAGTCTTTGTCTTCTGCGCATTAATGGTGCGCAGCACAGCCGGACAGCAGATGATCGGTCCGCATGTGTCAGTCAAACACGGACAAGACAACAGAGCAAAGCAAACCACACGAAACGCTTAGAAATCGCTGGATTTTGGAACTTGTGACGGTTTCCTCTGTATACAGACCGCTGCCCCCGCCCCGCAATATGGCGACCACTTTGAGAAACAGCAGAGGAAATACGTCACCTACGTGCGTCCAGATATCATTAAAAAACGGAACCAAAGCGAAACTATAGGTATCTTTCAGAATGACTTCATTACTAACCTCCGTTTGCATATTCAGACGTCTGTGCGGGGACACTGTCTGCAGACATGCTGCTCCTGCTCCTTCTTCTTCGCGTTTATTGGGTTTGGCAAGAAACCACACAGTGAATTACCGCCACCGTGTGGTGTGGACTGTGAACCAATCAACAGTTACAAAGAAGCGCTGAAGAAGTGACTTTCTCCCAATCAGCTTTCTGGGATTTACAGGGATTAACTTGGATGACGAGCATGCGTCAAGAAAGTTTCTCATGACCACCGATTAGCGCTGTTCACAGAGAGCTGGGAATGTCTGCAATCACAACACTGCAAAGATGTAGCCTTAGATTACAGCTTTCACCATCTTTCAGTGGCAATTATAACAAACCAAGTTAGTAGTTTGAGCATTCACAGATTGTAACTATAGTTTTTATAAACTGTCATGCCAATAAAGCACCATTTAAATCTGTTTTTGAGAGTGATATCCATAGTTGGTATCAGCTGGGATGTCTGTGATGCAGTTTGTTTAAAAGCAAAGTACCAGTCTTTGTTTGTTTCTGTACCACAGAGTGGATCAGGAAGCAGTACTGGGAGGAGCTGCTGTGCAGAGGAAGAGGGACTACTCGTTGGCTGTTCCCTTGTTGCCAAAAGGGGAACAAATGAACAGGGAAGTGACCCTTTGGAACTAAACTATTGAACAGACCTGCTGTTTACGGCATTACATAGGATTATTTCCCCTTAATTGTATTTGTTGTTGTTGATAAAAAATACAAATGTGACTTTTTAAATCAGATTTCCTAGGCTCTCTTTAATTGAGGGGGTGTTGGGAACTTCAAATCCGAAGGCTGTCACAGTATCAGTATCTGTATCTGTAGTTAATCTGTTTCCCTCCCCAAGCATATTTCTCCTATCTTGGCTTCCCTTCACTGGCTCCCTGTTGAATACAGAATTGAATTCAATATCCTGCTCCTTAAGTAAAATATCTTTGGTAATCAGGCCCCATCTTATCTTAACAACGTTATAGAACTGTATCACCCCAATAGAGCACTTTACTCTCAGACTGGGGGCCTACTTGAAGGGTTTGTAAAAGCAGAATGGGAGGCAAAGCATTGAGCTTTCAGGCCCCTCTTCTGTGGAACCAGCATAGGGCTTTAGTTAGTGCTGGATCAGGAACTGAGTGCTTCTTCTCCTCTCACCTTTTTACTCACTCTGTGTTTGTGCACCATTCTGCACTTACACATTAGTTATTATTAATCTCTGCCTCTCTTATGAAAGGTAAAATATTCTTCATCACCTTTACATTATCAACGATCTAGTCACTCGTAGTTTTTAACCACAAAAATAATTACATTCCACGATAATCCATCTAAAAAATGCTGTGTCTGTGTCCATATCAAGGAGAATGAAAACCTCAACACTGAAGTTTACTGGAAGCCCACACACACAGACCACACACGGGGAAAGAAAAGGAACACAGACATGTTATCCCAACTGGGCCTTCATCAAATCAGCGAAGATGCACAGTAAAGGTCAGACACCAATGAGGGAGCATCAGACTGACAAACGGAACAACACTGTCATGCCTTACATAGCAGGTTTATCAGAGAAACTTCTCCAAGAACGACATCCCAGCCACACACTCACACACAAACTGGTTCATTCCAAGGACAAAACTCCCAAACACAAGCTAAACAACACAGCATACGCTGTGCAGTGACTATCTGACTGTAGCAAATGGAATAATAGGGTCCAAGGAGGAAGAGCCGCAGCTTTCCTCTCTTTCAATGTTTACAAAAATATGAATCGATACATATGAAGGTCAACTTCCAAGCTTGCTCTCTGCTGTGTCCCCCATCTGGATCCATGGCTGTAGTGGTGCTTGATCAGACTGGTAGCCCAGTACTTGCTCCAGCAACTTGCAGTTCACTTCACTTCTATTCAAGTTTTTGTTTTTTAAAAGTTTTCCCCAGTTCATCATTGCACCATCGTAAGTGGTACAGTGAAACTTTCTCTCATCATGTGTCCTGACACCCTGACAAATAGTTGCCACTAACCTTTGGAGGAGTTGGAAATCCCCTTAACGACTGAGTGTGTGGCACCTGAATTTTCAAGATAGGACATAACTAATGTGAACAAAGGCTGTATGCACCGGGTATGTGAGCTGCAAGTGTGTACCTTCAACCTTGGGTGTGAGTTCCTCTGGCCATGAGCATCATCAGCAGTGTTGTCCTTGTTGTGGCAGTCTTTAGCTCAGTCTTCTCTGATTGCACTGAAAACAGTGTAATCAAGGTCACATTATGCTGTTTCTGGAGCTTCCTCTTCTTCTACCTGTGGGATTGCCAGACTCTTTAAACATGGTTAGGGTTGCCTTGTAGAGCTCGTTGCCAATCTTCTTCTCTCGCCCCACACTCTAGAAGAAATAAAAATATATCCACTCTCTTTCACTTATCCTTATCAGCCTTTCCCAGCTACCATGGGGCAAGAGGAAGTGTACACGCTGTGCAGGTCTCAACAGTCTGTTGCAGGGCTAACACATTTCTATCAGAGTGACTCATATGCATTTTTATACCAGTTCTTTTTACTGACCTGTTGCCAGTTCACTATGATTGACTGACTTTTCTTTTCCCTGTCTTTGGAATTACACACCTTTTCCAAGGATGTAGCTGGCATCAAAACTTTTTTTTTACCACACTGGCCTCATTTGAGGTATTTCTCCCTGAAAACTCTTAAAATGTCTTTTAAAATAAATATAACTAAATAAATGACTAAATCCTTTGCTTTCTTTATATTTTGTTGGGGTGATACGCCGTCTATTTTCATTCTATTTCAGAATTTGTGCGACCACTTCGATTGCGGATTAGAAAGATGCGTGCTACAGATTTCAAACATAACCTCACAAACCAACAGGAACAGCCACACCTACCAGGAAGTGCTGAGTGAATGAAGTAGTGACTATAGCGAACATGCTAGGTCACAGCACTGTGATGTTAGTTATTATGTACAACGACTTTGAAAAGAAAGTAAACAAACAAACAACAAACCCCTCCCCCTCCCGCTGTCTGCCAAGCAGTGGAAAAGTTTCCTGCGGTTTCATCCACGGAGTGATGGCCGAGCTGTGAGTCTGCTTGTCAAAGGATGCTGGAGCTGCAGCTGCGGGTCTTGTTGGTCCGCTGCAGACGCAGACGCGGGGCCGCAGACGCAGATGTCCACTTTAACGCAAGCGTGCTGCGAGGATGCGTGGCTGCTGCACGCGCACACACTGCTCGCGTTGCTCCTCCTTGCAGATTTTTCAGTTCAAGAGTGTAAAGGGACTTCAACCGGAAACTACTTTTTTTTCTTCGAACTTTTTCTGTCAGAAAAAAAGGAAAACGGGCCGACCCTCCTTGTCATAAACGGACTATTTCCTTATTTTTGCTCATTAACGTGTGCGCTGGAAATGTGTCAGCTGCCGGCCCGCAGGCGACAACTCAAGCGTTTTTGGTGAGAAAGGGCGACGTCGAGTGATTCTGGGCTAGTCAGCAGCCACATAACGGAGCCCAGTCTTTATCATGGAAGATGTGAGTAGTCCCTTGAGTCTTACTGCGTGTGCTGCCTGCCCTTGTTGTGCTTTTGTTTTGTGACAGTTTCACCACTTTTGACAGAAGCGTTGAATCAAAGCACCCCGTGACGTTAGAATAATGTACTTTGCAAAGGCGCGATCAGCTTCTGAGGCCCAAAGAGTGCTGGCAGTGTGAAGCTGGAGCACTTTTCATGGAAGAGTCATGCAAAGCAACAAGTTGTTAGGTGACGTTTCCAGCAGACGGGCTTGCCTGCTTCAGTCAACTGCAGTGAAAACGTTCTGGGGCTGGAAACACCTGTTCACCTGTCTCCACGTCACCGATCCACGGAATCCGCTCCTTCCAGCACAGAGTCAGGGTGGAAGGACCACAGCCAGGGCAGGGCGGCTAATTCCACCCACAAACTGACCGCGTTAATGAAAGAGCGCAGAGAGAAAATGTGGAGCCTTTCAGAGAGAAACTCTGGTAAACGCGATTAGCGGTTCATCACTGGCTGCCTGGTTGGTTCTGGCAGGACAGCAGCAGGACATGCCGAGCCTCGCACGGCTACACAAACAGGATAAAAAGGCAGAATAGAATCAAACGGAACAAAGTAGCTGAAGTGTACGTTCGGCAGTTGTTCTCTGAGTTTTAAGGCTGGGTTAGTGAGGGCCTCTCTTATCTTAGTACGGTATGATTTATGACAACCTGCGGCCGCAGTCTCAGGATCAGATAGTCTGGTCATCTGCTGAAAACTTTTCATTCAAAAACATCACAGTTACCCAAGTCACAGTATTCTATATATGACCTGCATACCTCAGTTGCATTTGGGCATTTTGAGGAAGCCAGTTTACCAGAATAGGGAAGTCAGAAAGACACATACTATGTCAACTACTGTATGTAAGGAACTTGTTGTGCACACTTAATGCATGTGGTGCCACGCCCTTTGAGTGGGATTCATCAAAAGTATGCTGTTTGTTAGCTGCTCTCTACCTTCAGTCTACAGTGTCACGATTAAAGCAGCAGCCTCTCTTTTGCAATCTGTTCAGTCTGGAATTTGCAGTGCTGACGGTGAAATCAGTTAATGCATTTGAAAACATCAGTGTGACTCTGTGGCGATCGTCACATCCAGCTTGGCTCGGGTTCACTGAGGAAGACGCCATAGAAACTGCCTGAAGTAGAACTGCTGGAAGATTTAAGAATGTGTCAGAGATCAGTAAGATTTGAGTCCTACATTTTCACTGTGTGGGCTAGCTTCACTAAAGGTTGTCTCTAGCTCATCAGTGGGTCACTCTGTGATCTGCATGTAAAGCAGAACTGAAACGAGTACATGGGCATGTTTATGCCTGGAGAGTCCCACCATGTGACTGTGTTTCTGTATTTTTAATTTGTACTTCCCTGCTCACCTATTTTCTTAAACTTGCACCCAGAAAGCGTCACAGCCCTTCTGTGATGACCAATCGCCTTGGTTCTGAGTCATCTACACTCTCCATTCCTCTCTGACCTCGTCAGAGAAAAGAAAAGAAACTCACATTGTTGTCGGGCAGAAAACAGCTCTCTCTCATCATCACAGTCAAGCTTTCTTCCCTACAATGGATGAATGTCTGCATACCATCATACTTTGGGTCCACCTTTCATAGTAAGCAATGGACAATATGCTGTTTCCATATCAAGAAGGGCATAAACCTCTTTTAAAACACCAGCACAAAACATACCAGGACATCAAGGATCTCATATTGTGTAAGTTTAATTGTAATAAAATGCAAGGAATATTTAATACTACGAGTGGCAGCTAGCCGACACTGATGCATACAAAAAAGAGGCCCGATTCATAACTATGAGTCTCAATGATATGTAAGTCATTAACAGTCATAAACACAGCCAGTGTACTGGCAGATAAATGCTATAACAGGAGCTGTTGGACTGGTGTTTTTGGTTGCGCTAATCTTTGTTTGGAGAACAGTGAGTCCAGAGTGCATTTCAGTAGTTTTCATCCCCTGTATTCAATATGAAAAATACATTTGTAATGCTAATGAGAAGCAGTACTTTTTTTTTTTTTACTATTTACATTTGGGAATTCATAATGAAGAACTGTGTGCACTAATATAGCATGACACTTTATTATAAACACAAGACTGTGGGTGTTAATGTGCTATGTGTCACGGCTGCAAGAGTGTTCTAAAAAAGGTGTTGTCCCCATCATCTTTTACTTCTTTGGCCTACAGAATATGAGCTGTTCTGCAGAGTTTTGTGGCTCTTTACCATAGAAAGTTGACTCAGTTTTCACTAGAAATAAAGAGAGATGCTGCGTTGCAAACACTGACTAAAGAGTAAGGACCACAAAGTGGAAATTTTTGTGAGGTCAGTTGCTATCAAAACTTTAGGACACCACTGTGGTCTGTGGTGTTATAT